TACAAATAAATCATCATTTTAAAGCTATTTGAGAAAGGAATTGAAATTTCTGATGTTTAAAAATAAGATTCATTTTAAAATTTTGAATAAGTGTTACTGCCTATTTAATCACTAAATTATTGATATATGTATGAAGTATGTTGAAAGAAAATGATAAACGATTGGGTAATTATTTAGATGAAGATGTATAGGTTACGCGTGGTTCACAATCACTTCGATCACACTTGGAGTGCCGAATGCATCCGGTTTTACCCAATGACTGTTTTCGGCATTTCATGAACAAGTGTGACCGATGTGATTGTGAACCACAGGCAACCTGTGAGGTCCTCATCTAAATAATTACTAACGATTGTCCTGTTCTATTAGAAAATAAATAAATAAATGAATTTATTTTAATTTAACTCGAGTAATTTGAACTTTGGACACCACATGGTTGTGCCAATTGGAACAAGGTACCTCAAAGTGTAGTTCTAGCTCCGTGAAGATGAAGTTTTAAATTATCATAACAGTTTTTCGATGTATCAGAAGTTTAACTGCGTCAATAAATCGAGACTATAAAATATTTAAGAATGCATTTGACAATTTACGCTGAAGTTAAACATAAGGTACTGTTCAAATTATCAAAAAAAAAAAAATCTCTCTGTATGTTAAATTCTTCATTCTTAATTTATGGACTACAAGTATGGATATAATTATTTAATAATTGTTCTATTGTATTTAAAAATAAATAGATTTCTAAATTTTAATATAACCCACTACTTTGAACGTTGGACCCTAGACCCTGTACTTCGACCTCAGTCAAGTCTTTGTTCTATACGACTCACTTTGCAATAATTGTTATAGATAGCTGTTTGATATACCAGAAGTTAAACTGCATCTAATAAGAAATAGTGATTTTTAAACTATTTAAGAAAGAATGGGAATTGTACGCTGCAATTCAGAAATAAGGTACTGTTCAAATTATAAAATAGATATTACTGCTTGTTAAATTAACCGATTCTTAATTTATATATGATAAGCAATGGCATACATATTCAATAGTTGTCCAAATATGTTAAAAAATAGCTAAATTTCTTTATTTTCTATACTCCCTCTAGTTTGAACAATATACCCAACACTTGTACTTCTCCTTCAGTCTAGTCGCAGTTCTCATATAATTTTAATAGCTCTTTGATAAATCAAAAGTTTCACTGCATCTACAAATGAATAGTGACTTTTAAACTATTTAACAAAGTAATGAGAATTTACACTGCAATTTAGGAAAAAGGTATTGCTCGAATTATAAAATAAATATAACTGCTTGTTAAATTAACCAAATCTTCATATATTAGTTACAATCATGAACATACATATTCAATAATGGTCAAATTATATAAGAAAATTAACAAAGTTTTAAATTTCAATATAACCCACTACTTGGAACATTGGACCCAAGACCCTGTACTTCGAACTCAGTCAAGTCTTTGTTCTGTACGACGCGCTTCGCAATAATTGTTTTAGATAGCTCTTTGATATACCAGAAGTTAAACTGCATCTTCTAAGCAATAGTGATTTTTAAACTATTTAAGAAAGAATGGGAAATTGTACGCTGCAATTCAGAAATAAGGTACTGTTCAAATTATAAAATACATATTACTGCTTGCTAAATTAACCGATTCTTAATTTATATAGTATAAGCAATGATATACATATTCAATAGTTGTCCAAATATGTTATAAAATAACTAAAGTTCTTTATTTTCTATACGCGCACTACTTTGAACAATGTACCCAACACTTGTACTTCTCCCTCAGTTCAGTCGCAGTTCTAATATATATGTTATAGCTCTTTGATAAATCGAAAGTTCATCTGAATCTTCAAATGAATAATGAATTCCGTAAACTTATTAAGGGAATTATGGAACTTTACGGTGCAAATTTAAAAAAAGGTACGACTCAAATTATAAAATAAATATTACTGCTTATTAAATTAACCAAACCTTCATATATTAGCTACAATCATGACCATGCATATTCAATAATGGTCAAATTATGTTAGGAAATGAACAAATTTTTACATTTTAATATAACCCACTACTTTGAACATTGGACCTCTGTACTTCGACCTCAGTCATGTCTTTGTTCTGTACGACGCACTTCGCAATAAATGTTACAGCTCTTTGATAAATTAAATATAAAACTGCATCTACGGAAGAATATTGATTTTTAAACAGTTTAGAATTTAATGGAAAGATTTCTCTACAATTTAGAATTCAGGTACAGTTCAAATTGTAACATAAATGTTATTGTTCAATGTTTAATGTTCAATGTTTATTGTTTGTTAAATTAACCAATTAATTTATGTACGTACAAGCACGGATATGCATATTTAGTAATTTTTCGGTTGCCTTAAAAATATATATATATATTTTTAGTTCATTATAACTACTTCGGTACTTCGAACTTATTTGTCTTGCCACAGCTATGTACCAATGCAGATCGCAAACTTTAATAATATAATAACAGTTTATTAACATTTAAATCGTTATTGTTCATAAACTATGTCATTAATAATGAAACGTTTTCAATCAGCATAAAACAATTTACTGAAATTTAATAATTATTAATGCGGCTTGAATTGATATGTTTATTTGCATAAACTCTTGGGCATGTATTACAAATATTTAACAATTTTAATTGAACTTAAGTTAAACTATGTTCTGTATAAATTATAAACTAAAATATTTGAATTCTGAATTCTACCTGATAAGTTAACTTGGAACATCGTACTATGTCTCTGTTTATTTTCAACTTTTTACAGATACAGTTCGCAATGATAAAAAAAAACGAAGGTTTTTTTTTTGGTAATTTATCTATAGAAGCAACACGATAATCTTTTATGAATTTCAGAAATAAGATATCGATTTACTTTGTGTCGATGTAGTTCAAAATTATCATTACTTCGTTGTTTTTTACATTAATATTTACCATGAATAAAGTGCAATGTCTTTGTAAGTTTGAAAGAAAAGATACCAACTAAATATTAATACTTTTGAATTTCAAAATATCACAAACTGAGGTCAACAATAAGCAATATATGTACATACAATTCACAATTATAAGTAATAAAGTAAAATATACACAAATATGCATTATATATATATATATATAATTATTGGAAGTTGATTAAATAATTAATTGTTTTATTTACTTTTTCTGTTCCTAGGAATCACTGGAAAGCCAATCCATACGGCCAAATCTAAGAAGCTAGAATCCTACAGGTACTCTTTACCACTGAGGGTGGAGTATTCTGTAGAAGAGCTGCGAAGGATTCTTCGACTCACTGGATGGCCGAAGATTCTTCTCAGTGGACTGAACGATTCGCTCTCTGGAGGACCTGGCAGGCCATCTACTGAAGTTCAGCTCATTCCCTCGTGAGTGTTGAGCCGTCCTGGATCTCACAGGATGGTCGAAAGGTTCGAATCCAGCTCTTTGGTGTTCGGCTCATCTCGGAAAGAGTCCACAGTCATCAGCGTTCTTCTAGTCCTCAACTTCCTCTGGACCCTTCGCTCCGGAATTTTTCTCCTTTTTCCGGATCTTCTTGTCTCCTTCCCGAGTCTATCTCTCGAGGTTACTTTTACTCGACCAGATGTCGTGCTGTAACAGGAGAATCGAAGGAAGAAGAGATCGAAGTACTCCGCGACCCGTCGTGTTTGGGAATTCGAATCGCATCATCGAAGCGATGTCGCTGCTACTGAGCAGTTCTCGTGTCACAGTTGTACACGAAGGAAAGCATCGGCCAACTAGTGGGAGTTAAAACTAATAACTGTACCGTGGTGGTTGTCATTACCTTATTTTAGGGATACATTATTTCTCCTGCCTTTGGTTAGATATTCCCTTCTGGGTCTTTTGTGACCATATATCTCTTAGCAATCTAAGGCTTTTATATTAGCCTCACAACAATCACCGCAACCACCACTACTTAAATTTCACCGGAGTTATATCTGCATCTGCTTGGTTTTCAATGGTAACATATATTTATAATTGCAGATGTATCTTTTAAAATGTAACAGTGGAAAACTATACACATATGTATATATATATATATATATATATATATATATATATATATATATATATATATATATATATATATATATATATATATATATATGTGTGTGTGTAAATCGTTTATTTCTTTTCACCCCAAACATTTGAGAGCTCGTTGATGCTCTATTCCTAGCCCAGCATTGGCTTTTATTAGTCATGGTTGAAAGTCTCATTTTTCAGGCGCTAAAGGAAATCAAACCAAGCTAGATATAGTGAGAGATATTAAATTTGAGGGATAGTTTGGTTTGATGTTTTACTAGTACCTGAGGATGAGCTCTTTTCCAAATACACTAATAGCTAAAAAGCCAATGAACTAAGAACTATCTCGTAATTATTTATTTCAGATAGTTACCTATTCAGTAGGTTTAGTCTCAATTATGAGTATTGTAGATTCATACTTTTTTTATTATTTCTGTCTGTAGTTCCTAAATGGACATAAAATTTTACCATGAAATGATTATATTATCACCTCGATAAATAATAAATTAGGAAAAAAATTAAAAATATATTTTTTTTAAGCAGAATCTGATCATAATTCTTTTAATCAACGAAATTTTAAGATTCCGTATTTTAAACGAAAATTATTACAAAAAATTCGTTTAATTTATTTAGTTTAGTTTTGACTTCTACTAATTGAGCGATGTTCTTCTACATGAACAACAATGACTCGAAAATCGCTCAGTCGGTTACATCACTCCGATGATGCGATTCGAATTCCCTACCTGGCGAATCGTAGAATACTTCGATCTCATCTTCCTTCGACACTTCTGTTACAACTCAATGTCTTTTCGAGTTAAGAGTGGCTTCGAGGGAAAGGGTCGGTTTGGGAAGAAGAAAATCCGGGAAAAGGAGAAAAATTCTGGGATGAAATGTTCCGGTTGGAGGTTGAGGACTTGAAGGACGTTGATGACTATGGACTCCTTCTCTGTACGGGCCGAGTACCGAAGAGTCAGATTCGGGTCCTTTCAATTATCCCGCAAGAGCGAGGGCCGCTCTCTGCTCGCGAGGGATGAGATGGATTTTAGAAGATGGCTTGCCCGGTCCTCAAGAGGGGAGATGGCTTTATTGGCCAGGAAGAGTTTTTTGTCGTCCAGTGATTGTTTTGTCTTAGAATCTTCTCGAGTTACCTCCGCAGAATATCACCCTTTGTGGTCCAGAGATACAGAACTTACGACTTACGACATTTGGTAGATTGAAAGAATGAAAAAGATAAAGAGAAGAAGAATGAATGAAATGTCAAATCCTGAAATTAACCTTCACAGCGGATGCAGCTTGAATAAAGTATGTTCTTTACATTATACTGAATTGTATTATATAATAGATGATTTTAAAATTATGTTTTAATATGTTGCAATAAACTTCTAATCTACATTAATAACTTATCTTCTACTTATGAATTTTTACAAACGTTCTTAGTCTCTTTGAATATTAACTTCAATGATGGAGCTATATTTTATTTATTTTTGTTTTCAAACCTTCATAAGAAGTGATAAATCTAAAAAAATCCCAAACGCAAAAAGTCAAGGTGTGAACGTTGGTTGGTACAGCAGGCATTGATGGCCAGTTGTGTTAAAGTTTTAGCCGTTTTAACATTCGCGAATCTAGCATATTCGTTTTTAATCCAATCTGGTTGGGTTGAAATTTATTTCGTTGTGTTCCCACGGAATGAATTTTGACTTTTCCTCTCTGGTTAGAATAGGTTTAGTATTTCTTCTAGAACAACCTCCCACATTTCCTTATACTATAAACTGTTAATGAAAAATAATGGTTGAGGCAGTTAACAAAATAAAATAAAAGACTGAATAACAAATGAAAATAAGGTTTCTGTGTTGAAAATCATTATATAGAAACAACAATCACCTACAACAACATAAATAACCTTTTTGTTTCATTATTTCCCCCTGTCTTTTGTATTTCTTTTCTTTTCCACACCTTTTATTATCTACTCTATGTGTGATACGGTAGTGGAGATCCCGCCAGGAGCGATGGAGCGATGTATATTGATGAATAAGATAAAGAAAAAGAATTTCATGGAGTAGTGACGACCCTTAAATTCCTACTAGACCTTTAATAATTTTATAAAAGTCATTGTAAAAATATGGTTTTAAGAGTTAGAGTTTTTAAACCCGGAAATGTACGATTTTCGAGATAAACCGTAATTCACTTCGATAGCCTCCTAAGTGACATAGTTATTACCGGATACTATTTTTTTTTTCGTACAGGCTTTCGTCAGAGAGATGGACTATCACCCATTTTGGTTCAGCATAGCCCTAGAGAAGGTAATTAGAGCAACATCACAGAAAAATGGAGGGGTCCATGTCGGAATGAATCATAAAATCCTTGAATACGCGGATGATGTAGCTGTCCTTGGAAGTAATCAAGAAGAAATTGAGGAACTCGCTAACTCTCTGATAAGAGAGACAGTGCAGATTAGCCTACAAGTAAATTCAAAACAACATATATGATAATAAGCCGAAATTTCCATCCCAATAACAGGATCTGCATAGAAGGAAAATCATTGGACAATAACCAGCAGTCTGGAAAAAAAATGTGCAAAGATTTGAGAGGAAAATCCTCCGCACGATAACCGGAGCGATCTGGGATCAGAGCACTGACACATGGAGAAGAAAGACCAATAAAGAACTGCTTACAGAAAGTGGTCAATCAATACCCCATGATATGAAAACACGGAGGTTAAGATGGGCAGGGCATGAAGCTCGTAGCAATCCATCTGGAATCCTCTACATAACAATGAATGCCTCAATATGAGGCAAAAGACCACGTGGAAGAAAAAAAAAGCAGATGGATAGATAGAATCAACAAAGACCCGTGAAAATAAATGAAAAGAAATAGTCCAAAACAGGCAGAAATAGATTAGGCTTAATAAGGTTACAAAAGATCGGCATGATTTGTTATACCAAAAGAAAAAAAAAATTATAAATGTTTTTAAAAATTAAAATGCAGACCAATTTCAATACACAATTTCGTATATTAGGCCAGAACTAGGAGGAGTAGCTCAAGGCTGTTATCTCACATCATTGATATACATTATATACAGTTATGCACATACACGTCATACCATTTCCAACAATTTTATTATAAAAATTACAATATACACATATACATTCATTTCAGCTTTTTCTTGTTCCACCGAAAGGCACTTCCTACCTTAAAATACCTACAAGGAAAATGCAGAAACAAATGTATATATATATATATATATATATATATATATATATATATATATATATATATATATATATTTTAAATTAAAATCGTTGGAAAGTGAGGATAATTTCTAAATCATTATTAGAATGGCGGCTTTAGTGATACAAAATAAATTATAGCTGTTTTCTGTTTTTGTGGATTGCTTAAAATAATTTAGCGCAATATAACATTAGTAGAATAGAACTTTTCCAAAGTATATACTTTGGTATTGTTATATACATTAACAATATACTAGGATATTATATAATAAAATAATATCATAAATGAAGTAAAATAATATTTCATAATGTAACAATACAATTTGATAAAATATATTATTAAACATAATATACCGTGTAATTGTTATATTTAAAAGAATTTTTCAATACAGGCTCAAGAAATACATAAACGAAACTGCTGTGATCTTCAGGTAGATGGTCTTCGCAGGTCATCCGATTCCACGCAGTCTCCGAGATCATCGGCATCATATCGGCAGCGAGGTAGGAATTAGTTATAACTATACATTTTATTACATGGTTTCATGTAATATTAGGGGTTCCTAACAAATTAATCTGACATATAGAGGGAAACAGCATAACTAAGATTGAAAATGGCAAACCATATGAGACGCTAAAATATTAATCACTAAATATTTATTGTCATATATTTAAGTCAATTATAAAAGTCGGGATAAAATATTATTTACACTCTTTGTTGTGAAAAAATGTTTACCCTAATTAGCCTTCCCTTGTCTACATCCTCTTCGAGTTTTAGTATGCAAACATTTCTGAAGCGGTGTCACCAAGTGGGTTAACCAGTGCGTTTACAAAAAAACCGAAGTTTATGTGATAAAATAATTAATTGTTTGCGGCTCGGGGTCGGGGAGGTCTTTTAACCCTTCATTAATTTCCCGCTCTCTCCCCTGTTCCAGGAAAACCCTGTATTGCTTAAAATATGAGGAATGGGTGAAGAAAAACACAAACAAAATTCAAACGTTTCCCCACTCATAAGTCTATAGTTAACTTTCGGTCTCTTTTTCTACCAATTTACTGTACGGGGCGGAGGAGCCGAGCGGACTAACGCGTGTGCACAGCACCACGTTGCCCAGCAATCTAATATAAGGTAATTTGATAAAAATAATTTTTAGTTCGCGGCCCGGTGCCGACGGAGGGAGAGGGCTTTTAACTCTGGTATTTAATACCCCGCTTCATCACCGGCCCGGGAAAACCCCGTATGGCCTAAAAGGCGAGGAAGGAGAGGACGGAAAAAAATACTTACTATGTGGCTCATAAAATCAATTAGAGAATAAATAATATAATATTGTAACAATATAATATAATATGACATAATATAGTATAATACAATATATCTAATAATAAAAGTATACTGAGTTATTATCATATTTAAATTGTTTTTCATTACAGGTTCAAGAAACATGTGCAAAAAATTGCTGCGGTCTTCCGGAAGTATTGTCTTCGCAGGTCATCCGATTCCACGCAGTCTCCCAGATCATCGGCGTCATAGCGGCAGCGAGGTAGGAATTAGTTAAAACTAAACATTATATTACTTGGTTATATTGAATATTGGGAGTTCCTGACAAATGTATCACAAAACTGAGTTATTGTTATATTTAAATTGTTTTTCTTTACAGGTTCAAGAAACATCTGCACGAAACTGCTGCGGTCTTCCTGAAGCTCGTAGGCCATCAGATTCCAGTCTCCGAGACCGACCGCATCATTGCGGCAGCGAGGTAAGAATTAGTTGTAATATAATATATATTATAATACTTTAAAAAACATAGGTTCCTTAGTCTAAGTGAAGCCGTAGTAACCTTAACTACTGAAAATGATCTTTCGTTAAAAGCTTCATTAACAGTTACTGATTAGATTATACTATGACATAGAAAGGTATGAATGAGGTGGAGGATTGGCTAGAAAAGAAAATAACTTATGTATTTGTATAAGATAAAATGCCTATAACTTATTATTTTAATTTTAAATTTTATTTTAATATATATTTATTTGTTTTCCAGGGCTGAGAACTTCTAGTAGATCTTCCGGACTCCGTAAGCAGCCCTCGTGTGCCGCGAGGTTAGTGGAACAAGTTCTAAGCATGCGCTATGGTCCATAGCTCAAACAACATTAAGTTACCAAATCTTTTTGGAAATTATTTTTTTTTTTATCATATGATTCATACTGTTTTAATTATATTACATTACATTTTTATTGAGTTAATTTGTTCTCTCTAAAATTATGTTTGATCTGGACCATAGTCTCTGCCCACTTTGGACATTGCATGTGCACGTGTTTTTTTTTTTGCATGATAATTGGCATGTTCATGATCATCATTGCCTAAAGATTTAGGAACAATATTTTTTCTGTTTTCATTATGCTGTGATATTTCATTCAAAAGCTTTTTATTTAGTTATAAACTATATATACATTTTATCTATGTTCCTATTAAGGCTTTAGTTTCTTTAGATATTTGTAAAATACAAGCAATTATTTGATAATTTAAAGTTAAGTTCATTATTAGATTAATGCAATAATTAAAAATTTTAAATTTAATAAATACATTATCTTTAATAATTAAGATATGAACATAATTGCCATAAGATAGGTAGGTCATATATTCCCTAGTGGGCAGTGTTTGCTTCATGTAATATATTCTTATTTGTACTTTGGCGACCTCCTCTCACAATTCTTAGGTTTATTTATCATTTTTTTTTATTGTTAAAATTTAACTAATTTATTTATTTTTTTAAATGCAGTAAAATTATATATTAATCTTATATCAAACAAAACATTTATATAAATGATTAGATTCATTCAACTTAAATACAAACTTATGGAAAAATAAATCTATAATGAATTACAAACAGTAGTTAAATATTTCACAATTATTTATTGCAAATACTTTAATTTATTTTTATTTAAGTAAAAATTTATATAACTATTAAATACAATTAAATTTGTATCACTTAT